TTGATGCTATTTCTTTGTGCAAAAAATCCCAAGTCATCTTACAGAATCTTTCCTTGATTATTGAAGGAAAATCTTTCCTCGATTATATTATTCATATATGTGAGGAGTAATACATCCACTGTATTTTAAAGTTACGTTGTTATTAAGTGAAATCCTTATGTACCACAAAGTCCTGTCATCAGTTATCAACAAATATTTTCTCAATTGCCTTTTATCTAAGTTTGGAAAAGTTTGAAGTTTCAAGAAGAAAGTTGGGTTACTTCGCTTTTCAGATAGCAAAGCATAAAAAGAAAAATAAACCCTATTTCCCAAAGCCAGTTTGGTGTTGCTATATATATATAGGTCAGTCCAGAGATCAAGATACTTAATGGGTTAACAAAGTCTCACTGGTAGCAACAGCTTAAGTGTCTATACCAGAGTTGAGGTACTAGGGTTGCTGCAGATTTGTTTCCATTTTTCACCTTGATAACTAACATAACTTCTACTCTTGTTTTTTTGGCAATGATCTTAGAGGTGTCAGATTTCTGTAGCCTGCTATATTGTCAGTATTCTTGGGATTTGGTTGATTTTCATACAGATAAGATATGAAAGACCAACTATGATTCATATTCACCCATTCTGACTCTTCATTTAATACACCTCTCTAGGGCTTCTGTCAAAAAGTTGGTCTCCAAATGCAGAATTCCTGACCTTGAAAAACCAGCCTCTGTCATGCTTATTTAGTTTTATATGGTAAAAATGTTTCCCATCTTTTCTGCAATTAGATAAATATGGGAAAGTATCAGACCCCAATTTAAGCATGCAGCCCACAGAGAGTTTAGGCAAAAGCCCTGCTTTTTCATCCTTGGAAGTATAAAGCCTGAGGAAAATTCTACCACTGCGCTGTTTCTGCACGCCCATTTGTAAAACAGTTGTGGAAGGCCTTTTAAATCTCCGCCTGTCTATTCGGAGTTTCCCTGTCTGGAGCTCTCAGTTGTTTCCCAAAGATACAGTGAAATTCATTTTTTCCTCTCTGAGATGGAATGTACTGTATGACCCATTTAAATTACAGGCTTGATGAAAATAGTCAGGATGTCTGCGTATTGGTAAAAAAGGGATTGAGTAATTTGACTGAAACCTTCCAAACTGATCAGGCTTTACATTTTGAATATGTCTATGTATGCTCAAGCAGATGCTCTCTTCAAATGGGATGAGTTCTGCTTCTGGGTGAATCTGTTTCCTGTTTTCCCATATGCTGGAATTGCACAGGAACCAGGAAGAATAAAGAGGTTACTTGTAGCTCGTTCAACAGCTTGCCTAAGCCACATGACCCATTTCCATTGCAGATGTCTTCTTTCTCAAACTACTAGAGCTTAGTCTTCAACATTCCTTATTGAGAGCTTAAAAGAAAAAAGCTTTCATCTTGTTCTAGAAAAGTCCAAATGTAGTTTTGTGAAGGCATTCAACATAGATTACATTCTTTTTTCATGTTTACTATATTTTTTTCTTTATATTTTTAATTTAGATAAAATCTTTTTATAAAAACTCTTAACAATACGGATTACTGATGGAACAAATACATAATCTTCAGTTGTATAAGCAAATGAAGATGCACAGGCAAAAGGCTAATATAAAACTGACAATAAGTTTGTTTACATAGCAAACTTTAAAATTAAGAAAGCCAGTAACAAGCATTTTAGTTGTATGTCATTAAAAAACCCTGCTTTCAGCAGAAGCAGATAGGGTTTCAAATAATTCATACAAATATTAGTTGGAAAAGCAGGCAATTTATTATACAAGGAACTTGCTTGCTTTCTCCAAGTTATTTCTTTATAGGACACAGTAGCAAGACGTGCCCATTGGATTTAGTGTCTGCAGTGTGGGAATTTTAGATTCACCATTTGTGTCTCTATATCTCAAAGGGATAATAAAGGTTTGCAGTCAGAGTTCTAAAAATACAGAACACTGGGGGAAAACTTTAATGATTGCAATAACTGATTAAAAAGTCGGTTATAGATTTTGCAACATGCAGTGCATGTTTATAGAAATTTTGATTATTTTTAATTACATATAGCCTCTTTTGCATATACTTCTGTAAAATTGCAAAGACAAAATGTATGTTAATTTTAGTGTGTTCACTTAAATGTATTTTTTAACTGTGAGTAACTGAACCATGATGAGTTTGTATTTAGTAAACACTGTACCAAGTGGCAGTCTACAGGGGTGTATGATCAATTTGTTGAAAGGTTCTTTTTCTGGATAACATAACTCTGTTGGTTTTGCCTGCAGAGTAGAAAATCATGCTTTTGGACAGTTTTATAGTTTGTAATTCTCATCTGGGAAAGATGTGAAAATGTGAATGCTTCATATGGAACATGTAACTTGTATATTAAAAGTATTTTGAGAATCTTAAAGCTGTTTTTATACTCATTTATCACCATAGTTGATATTGTTGAAGGAGAGATGTGCTTTAGATACTTGCTCATGAAGCAAAATCTATATGTAGGCAAAATGCTTGACATTTCTATGCTAATTCTGCTTTGTTGTTTTCATACTGCTTACAACTCCGCATAATGTTAGACTTTTGCAGGTTAATTGTCAGTCTAATAAGTAAAAATAAACTCTGAATTAAATGGCTTTATAAGTAGGCATTAATAGGACTATAGCATCATTCCTTAAATTGGTCTTCAACTCATCAACAGAAGGACATTTTCTTGCAGGTGGATAATTTATATTTTTCTGATAGGATTCTGGAGTTGTGTTGGCTGTGGTGAACTGGAATAGGTTAGCAGAAATTTGAAACATTTGAGTGTAGTCCTTTTTTCCAACCTAGCAACTAGTCTTTAAAAAAAGACCAAAAATAAAATGGAAGATTGTAAGATTAATGAATGCCCCAAGAACTCTTAAAGTGAAGAAACAGTAGCTGAAAGCCAACTGAAAGATCAGAGTAAATCTTCTTCTAAATCTGATTGTTAGCAAATCTCATGGAGAGTTTTCTTGTAAGATACATCTAGAAACTTATGTTTGTTGCATGTTATTTTGTCATACTAACAGAAAATAAAGAACAATGTACAATATTAGTGGACATCCAGTTTTACTCAAGTTTTAAAATACAGCGCTTTCTCCCAGTACATTGCTTTCAACTTTTTTATTTAAAATATTTTAATGGTTCAGAAAACATTGTATCATTGAGGTTGCCTATTCAATGGGCTGAATGAGGGAAAACATGCTAAAATTTGTTCCAGGCAAAGTAGCAGTGCTCTTGGATTCGGAGTGAGCTTTAGCCCATTTCTTCTACTAAAGAAAACTCTGTCATTTGGGACTACTTGATGCTCCATTGAAATGAAATTTACAGACAGCAACTGTGATGCGCAACCTGAGTTGACTAAAGCTGACAAGGTATCGCATCCAAACTACTCCAATTCACTCTGCATGGGGCTACCCTTGGCAAATGGTTGCAAAGTATTGCAATTAGCCTAACTGCTGTGAGTGTCTAGGATCATATTACAGTTTTATCAAAAGGTCTGCACTGATGACCTACTGCTTACACTATTTAAGGTAACGGTATTAAACATCAAGACTTTGGGCCTTTAAGACCATTTATGTTATAAATACTGTGTTTCTCCAACAATACGCCCCCCCAGAGGAAGACCCAGCATGTTTTCTAGGCATAAAATGAAATTAAGCCCCTCCCCCCAAAAAATTTAGGCCTAGTTTAAAACATGCGAAATTGGGGGGGAACTTGCCATTAGGAGTGCCCCGTGGGCAACTACGCCTCACCATCAGCTGCCCCTAACACCATGGTGGAGCACAGGGGGGGTCCCTTACCTGGGTCAGCAGGCAGGCGGCATCGGCGTGTATGTCCAGCAGCGTTTCAGCCGCTTCTCAGGCCTCCATAGCTTCCATGGTTCCCACCGGTGCTGGCGCCTCTCGCCAGCGCTGTCTCCAACAACAGCGTCTGAGTCACTCCTGCTTTTCCCGTCCCCTTAACGGGGAAAAAAAAAGATTTTGAGGTACCTGGAAGCGCCGCGCACTGCGCTTTGGTTTAATCCCAAGTGGCTGGGTAGGTTTGAGAAGAGCCGAGCGAGCGTCTCTGCTGCTGCTACCCTTGGTGCTTCAGCCTCGGGCTCTGCAAGTTTGCAAAAGTCCCGGTGCGCAGCCCGTTCCTGCATTCCAAGTGCCCAGGCCGAGCTGCAGCTGTCCCTCTCACCAGCGCCTTCTCCAATAACAGCAGTAGCAGCAGGGGGAACCGTGGAAGTTACGGAGGTGGCTCCCCCACCTGAGAAGCGGCTAAAACACTTCCACAGTTCCTGCCACTGCTGCCGCTGTTGTTGGAGATGGCACTGGCGAGAAGGAATGCAGGAACGGGCTGTGCACCGGGACTTTTGCAAACTTGCAGAGCCCGAGGCTGGAGCACCAAGGGTAGCAGCAGCAGAGACGCTCGCTTGGCTCTTCTCACGCCCACCCAGACGCTCAGGATTAAACCAAAATGCAGCTCACGGCGCTCCCAATATGTCAAAATCTTTTTCCTGTTGTTACAGGGACGGGGGGAAAGCAGAGCGACTCAGACGCTGTTGTTGGAGATGGCGCTGGTGCATGGGGGGGGGAATTAATTCATCCCTGAAAAGACGTCCTAGCCGTTTTTTCGGGGCTCAAAAAACAAAAAATAAGGCCCGGCCTTATTTTGTGAGAAGCACGGTAGGTGCAGTTGTTATGTGCAGGAGAGACCTTTTGAAGCCAAACTTTGTGGCATGAGAGAGGCTGGAAGACTTCTATATACTGAATCTCTCAGACAGCAAGAACGTATTCCTTTGGAAGTTAATATTTAGTCATTAAGAAAATCTGTAGAGAAATATCTTTTTGCTAGGTTTTTAATGACTGATTGACTAGCATTTTATGTACTTACTGAATTTTGTTCTGTCCTGAGTATTGGTTATAGTAGAAAATCAGGTATAAATCACACAGTAATACAAAGGAAGACTCAATGGAAGAATGAAGGATGCTACTGAGGATCAACTACATTTTATTTCCAACCAAAAGTTTTAAAATAATCAAGTAATTTCTTCCATAAATTATGAATAAAATGTTAAGTTAGAATTATGAATTAGAATTTCACTACAATTATATTCCTTTTTAAACCTTGCATAATTTTCATTCTGCTTGAAAACATACATGGTTTCATATCAAGTTTTCTGAGCTTTCTGCAAAGACAGCTATATCAAGCTACAATTTTTATTATAAACTTGCTTTTTATTCTACTTTTCACTATTTGGATTATGACGTTACATTTCTATTTTATCCATCCGAATGTTTTTACCATGTAAATCCTAATCGTGCTTTAGTATGATCATATTTTTGTTCGTTTAATAGCTTCATTTCTTGAGCTGTTTCGCCTATGTAGGGTGGCTGAATAGGCTGCTTCTCACAACGATGTTGATCTTCATTATAAGCTGGGCCACTGAAAGTAGGAATGCCTTCATGCAGTCCTTTGAGAAGTGGGTAGAGATTCTGAGTAGTCTTAGATTGTTCATCAATTATTTTCTTTGCATATTTCTGGAATTCCTGCTCCCTGCATAATGCAATCACTTCTTTCTGTCTAACGTATTCAGCCTCCTCCTGCTTCTCATTTTCTCCTCTTGCTATTTTTTCAGCCTGTATTGGGAAAATTTTTTGAAAGCATATACCGTATATGTGTGCTAATCCTTGTAGAAATCTTTTTTCTTTGAACCCAAGCCCAATACATGAGTGCAGTATAAAAAAAATAATAATCAAAAAAAATAAATTTGCATATCAAACATATAAATTAATATTATTACAAACAAATTTGCTTTTAAGCATTTTGAGATTAGCTTTATAGGCTGCAATTAAAATATGTTCTTGCACAAATGAATGGAATACAAGTTAAACTCTTAAATCTTCATGTCTTTTTGGATGCAAAATATGAGAAATTAAAACTTCTGTATTAGGGTCTTAGGCCTTGACATTTAAATCACAAGGTCATTCATCTTTGACTTCTGATGGATTCCCAGTAAGATTGTAAGCCCTGTTAGTTTTAATAATTGATATGCTTTGTTTATTTTTAATATCAGCCAAAATCCCTTTATGAGATTATCAAAATTTACTTCCATTTAGAAATGAGGCATGAATAGTCTGCAAACATTTATAGTGCTGTAAAGATTACATGAAAAGGAGAGTTCTCTCTACAAGTTGTTTGATTTAATTCAATCCTGGGATTCTGATGGGGAAGAAAACATATTTCTGTGATCTCTGGCTCTGATATGGAGATGGTCTTTTTTAATGCATTGTACTAATCATGATCCTGGTCTATTATACTGTAGCTGTAATGTTATCTGAGGATGGGAAGTTTCCTTTAATGTATTTGCACAACCCAAATTGGAAATAAAGCTTTCCCTGATACAGAAGTATCCTTTCACCTCCCTAGGACTGAACAGAAATTTTATAAGTTAAAATACTTTCTAAGTATTATAATATATATACTTACTATCTGTGCGACATGAGCTTCTTGCAATTTTAAGTTTGCACAATAATTTCTATGTATCTTATCCTTCTCCAGTTCTTGATAGATCCGGTCTGCTTCCATCAGTCCAATAAGTAATTTTTGACCTTCCAATCTCTCCTCTTTTTCTTTTTCTTCTTTCATTTTTATCTGAAATAAGACAATCTTATCTGCATCCTCTAATAAAATCTGAAAACTGATGACTGTGTAACGTGCTACAAAATAATTAGTTGCCCTGATTCTATAATACCTTGGGCAACCCTTTCAGTGCTTCTATTTGAAAGAAAATCCTATTATTCCAATTAAACCTGCTCCATGCAAGGTAGCTCAGGACAGGTCACTATACGCTTGGAAGAGTGTAATTTTAAAAGCTGGTTACTATGCAATAGTGCAAGGGTCTTCAAACTTGGCAAGTTTAAGACTTGTGGACTTCAACTCCCAGAATTCCTCCTCCAGTCATGTTAGCTCAGGAATGCTGGGAGTTGAAGTCCACAAGTCTTAAACTTGCCAAGCTTGAAGACCCCTGTGATAGTGGACCATGTCAAAAAGAATACAAGTAACCTGGATTTTTTCTTACCACGTTTGCTCTGTGTTCTGCAATGGATTTCAAATCGGCCTGGAGTTTTTCTTCTTTAGCTTGCTCCTCTTTAGCTTGCTCTTCTTCTTTCTCTGCAATTTCTCTTGCAATACGCTCATCTTCATCACCCATCTTCTTTTTCATTCGTGCTAAAAGGCGGCTAGTAATCCTTTCCCTTTGCTCTTCCATTAATCTGTAATGGTTCAGTACTTACTGCCTTGTATGCTAGCAGAGTCTGAAGTATCACTTTGATTCTACACTGGATAGAAAGCAGTCTGAAATATACCTTAATTAAATTTCACAGTGGATAGAAGCCACTTTCTGTTAGAAGAGGGAAGCCCCAATTGACACAGACAGCTCCTGTCTCTTTCGAGAAATAGGAGTACATACTATTCTGAGAATGACAATAAGGATACACAGGAATTCTTCACCCACCAGAATAGATGACTGACAGGTGCAGCTTATTATCTATAAAGCAGTCTCTTGTGAGTGGCTTGGCAAAGAAGAGTGGTTGCTTATTTGTACAATAATTACATATCACTACAAATACCTCCATTTTAATCCAGAAATAAATTATGCTTCTACTATACAAATTGTGAAATTGAGTTGTAGAGCAGTCTGGATTTGAATCAGAAGATACGCATTGGAATGTATGAATGTAGCATCTGTCTGCAACTCATAAAAGCAGCTGTGTCTGTTTTCAGGCCTTCACAACTGCAATCCTAGAAATGTTAATGAATCAGACTGCTTTCTTGTGTACTGTGGAGTATGCATTGCTCTGATAAACTGAATTAACAGTATAATTGCTCCGAAGATATGATTGGAAACTAATTGTTGAGAATATGAGCTTTAGGTAGTCCATTTTATTTTACTATCTCTATTATGAAGGTTGATTATAAAAATACAACTTTACAGTTTACTTCAGGCATTTATTGGGCCAGCAAGGCCTTAGCATGGAAAGGAGTTTGCTTTCCTAATTTGATGCTCACTAGAGATACTCTGTGTAAATGTACAATATCTACCTTTCTTAGCCAATATCTAGGAGGGTATGGGTCGTAATCTTACATATCTGAAAGACCAAGGTTAGAGAAGAATGAGCTTAACAAATGATTCAGGAACTCCATATTGATGTCCTAACTGAACAAAGAACTTTTGTGCAAATCCCAATTTTTATATACTAGCATATACAGTGCCATACCGATGCAGCTGATTTTGGATGATATGTTCTTTGACTGATGAGGTCCTTGCACCAGTGAAATAAATTTCAATTCAATTTCCATTTCTTCTGCAGTCCTTTATGCTATCACTACCATATTCCTCAGAGTTCCTCAATCATTCATGGACTTCCCAGAGGAGCAATGAACAGGAGGGGAATCAATAATGCACTCAGTGAATGGAACTCCAAGGCAATTTCTCAATGGAATCCAGCCATTATTTGTATCATATCTTAAAAGGTTCAGAAAATTAATCTTTTATGTTTCAGAAAATGAAAAGTAAAGACTGTTAAATTTAGCTTCATTCCTCCCATGTTGTTTTCTTCGCAACTGTAAGGAGGAATGGGTCACTGCCTTCTGGGACCACTTTTCAACTTCCCAGTCTAGTCTATCATTTCCTTCTGGTCTCCCAAAATCTGCTTAGTATTTTCAAGATTATCGAAGGTTGGCTACACACGACCATCTTCAGTAAAGAATGAAGTAAGTATGTCTGAAAAACATTCAGAATTGCCCTGTGTCCAGTAAGTATCCTTTGATACTTTCCAGATTTATTTGCAGAACACTCTCAACAGCTCCCAGGATAGCTACAAGAAGTATGGTGTGGAAGAAGAACACAATGTTTTGAAATATCTCAAATGTTTTTTCTCTAATAGAGAATATTTTGTATACTTGTGGTCTTCAGTCTGCTAAAATGTTACATGTTTGTAATATTAAGGAGACCTACAATAGAATCTCTACAGGAAGGTACGTAATTATCTGGAAAAATGCATCTTTATTTTTAGTCATGCATTTTAATTTAATCATTATTTTCATGTACCTGCGTAACTCTTCTTCTTTTGTTTTCTTCAACTTATCCATTGCTTGCTTTGCTTTAAAATGTATTCGAATTCTCTCATCCTCTTCTTCTTGTTTTTGTTTTTCTATAGCTTTGAGAGTTACCTGGTCAGCAACATATGCCTTTAAAATAATAAGACAAAACTAAACATTCACTTCATTGCCAAATTCTCACTCCCCCAATTCTTAGGTAAAGAGTCTCTGAGTTGCAGCTTTCAGTGGCATTGCTTTGTTGCTACATGCAATTAGTATTTTTCTTGTTTACTACTTTAAGTCTTCCAGCATAGCTCTTACTCATATGCAGAATTAAATTTAACCTAATCCTTCACATTGATGAAGATAGAAAATTTGAATTCTTCTAAAACCCAACAAGCAGAACTCAAAGACATACTTGAGGGAAAAGTTGCTGAAACAAATTTGGAAAGATTTTGGAAAATCAAAGGAAAAGACGGGGAGGCGGTAGAGAGAAGAAAGGATCAAGAATGCCAGGAGGAGAGAAATTATAATTAAGAGATTTTTGGAGCCTTTTAAAAAAATAATTAAAATTGTTATAATACCAGAAGCCTAAAGGATAGAGAAGAGCGACAACAAAGGGGGGAGGGGATTTCTAGTCCTTAAATCTTTGTGCCAGAAAAAAAAGAGGCCACTGCCCCGGTGAAGGGCAAAAAAGAACTGGAGATTGAGTTTATAACAGACATAGTAAAACAGTAGTTAGAATGCAGTATTGCAGGCTCACTCTGCCGACTGTCACCTGTTCAAGGTTGACTCAGCCTTCCAAGGTGGTAAAATGAGGACCCAGACTCTGTAAACCACTTAGAGAGGACTGTAAAGCATTGTGAAGCTGTATATAACTCTAAAGTGCTATTTCTATAACCACCACTAAATTGTTTTAATTAGGTGACTTTGTCTTGGCTCAGCTGATGGTATTTTTTCTTATTATTTCAAGACAGAGGATGAGAAACAAATTTATCCATCGAGAAAATGAAAGGGTACTGGGAGAAAAACTTGAATTTAGGAGCTGAAAGCAACAAGCAAATACATTTCCAAGGTATTCAGAACGAAAAGGCAGGAAAGCAAACAAGCTTAGCCTTTTAAATAATAGGAGCTTTAGATGGGATCAAAAGGAAAAAAGCATAATGCTTTAAAATCTGATTAGCCCCATGCTGTGTCTGCACACTATTCTCACTTCTTAAGACTGCTTCCATGTCTGTACTTTCTTGGCGACAAGACAAGTTATGGGTGCAGATTTACTAAACCAATATCTCTCCCTTTATATTACATGCCTGCATACTGATAAGATCAGACAGGCAAACCCGTACAATCTGCAACCTTTTCTGATTTGCATCTCACAACTTAATGTGTCGAGAGATGTCAATTCAAGTAAAATTCAGGAATGTAACGCTGCTTGAAATAACTCCATGCTAGCTAAAGAGTTAGGTAAAGTTCTTTTGGTGTACCCAGAACAAAGAACCACGGTGATATAATGATACATTTTGTAGTCGGAAAAAACTGCTAATGCTCCATGGTATTTGCTGATGCCCTTCTCAGTTCTTCCTTTAGTTATGGAGGAAAAAAAGAGAACATGAAGCATAGTATGCATTTCTAAACTCAAACAATGAGAACTAAAAGTATTTTGTGCTGCTTCAACAAAGTCTGCAAGACTTGCTGCCCCTACAAGAAAGAAGCAAGCAATAAACATGCCATTTTACACATATATAAGATTTTAAAAACTGCATTTTCAGGCAACTCCCCGCAAAAATATAATTAAACATAAATATATATTTTATATATAGGTGAAACTATATACTTGCTAGCAGGGGACTGGATATTGTAGTTTAATAGTATTTCCCACCATTTAATCTATGGCACAAATTACTATTACTGTCAAAAGACTCATCGATTTTGAATCAATGTCTGAATTTTCAAATCTCTCACTTCCCCAGAATGTAGACCTTTGATCGTGCACCATTATCAATTCTTTTTTCAGTTTTAGAAACAAATGTCTGAATAACTTGTCAAGAGAGTATTCAAAATCAGCACCCTTAAAAGTGTTGAATATTATAAGGATTGAGAAGTGTTCTTTCATTTAGCATAGGCAGCCTATGACAATCTGATAATTTGGATTATGCTCCAATTATGCTCATCAAGGATTATGAGAATTGTCAGCCTAAATATCCGGAAGGCTGCAGTTTCTTATCTCTACATTGCAACTAATGGCCAAGTATTTAGTTATCAGATTCTCACAACATACCAGATGGGCTTGTCTTCGTTTAACCTTCTGTTCACGTTGTGCTTGCTCTTTTTCCTGCATTTCCAAATGATATAACTTGGTCAACTCCAGAAGTTCTTCCCTTTCTTTTTTCTCTTCTAACTTTCTTATGTTTGCTAACCGTTCATGCTCCTTTATCCTAAAAAAAGAGAATAAGCATTTATGGACTAAAGTAGGAATGGGGAGTTTATGGTTCTCCAAATATTGCTGAACTTTCAGTCTAATTATCACCAAGATTCCTTTAAAAGTGATATCGAAATCTCCAAAACTCAGACCTTTTTCAGTTCCTAGCAAGTTATTTTGGGGAGGAGAGTAATTTTTGGCAGGGAGGAAAAAAATGTGCATATTCTGCATTAGTACACTACTTACATCCAAGTTGGTCAAAGCCATAATGATCAATTTATATCTATGGATGATCGTGGTATATAGAAGACTATAATGGAAAATGTGAAAGAAATACAGGGTAAAGAGCATGAGGGGAAGGATGTAAGCGATCTGAATAAAGAATGGGCTAGTCTTTTGGAGTTGACAAATGCAGGCATGGAGATCAAAGTGGAGATTGGAGATTAAGTATGAATACATTTTGAATGAAAAAGCTAAAATGTTTTCGAAAAGGTGAATTGGTGTCATCCAGACTGCTGTGTGTGTATACAAAATCACAAAATTCATAGGCTGCTGATATCTGCTTATTATGATCCAGAATATTATAATCAGAATAGCATGAAAAATGAGTTTGGGGAACAATTGTCCAACATTCTAAATAAATGATCCTGATGAATCAGTTACTGTGCAAGGTAACATAATTAGATAGACAGGAACAAGGCCAGAACATAATAAAAATTATTAGGCCGTTTCAAGATCCATTAATGATCAATGAATATGTAATTTTAAAAATAATTGTTCTGAATAAGTGGATGAAGTATCAAACATACATGAACATGAGAATGATTCTCAAAGCATAATTTGTTCATCATGGAAAACTGTTAGAAGATGAGGGATCTGAATCTAAGAGTGATTAATCTGCCAGTAGTAAAATGTTGAGAAAAAAGAAAATTAAGGAGTTCTGAAGGACAGGCCATTATTTGGTAATTCCAAGAGAGGATCATGGTGGGAAAATAAATAAGGAAGGAAAAAAGTGAAAGAAAGTAACGCACAAGTAACTGTAGAATAACTGGAGAAGAAAATAAAACACCTGTGTGAAAATTGTTAAATCTCCCAGCAGAATGAAAATAAACTTGATTTTAAGAAAGAGTATGTAGAAGCTGGTTACAATGAAGTAAAATAATTATTTTACCAAGTGCCACTGAATTGGTAGGGCTATGCTAATAGGAATGATGGCATGATGAAGAAAAATATATGTAAGTAAAATACTGAAAATATTGAAGAAATGAACGAAGTATTCTATCATTTGTATTTGGAGGAAAAATATAGTTGCAAAGAATGTTGCCAAAGAGAGCAAGGAATGGTTAAGGCTAAAAAAAGGTAGGAAAAATACAAAGTAATTTTCACAAATTAAAATTTTTGGAAAGTGAAAATGGCTGAACAAGAAAACTCAAGCAGACTGCAAAGTTACCTTCTCATCACTATCATAACTGGATAGTCGCTTTATAAGGCAGTTGTTAAATGAAGTATACTGTATGTGGTCTCTTGCACGTAATGGAAATAGTCAAAAAAGCCAAGGTAACTGGGCATAAGGACATGCTTCTGCCCATTGTGTTATATGGAAATGCAAGTAGGATATGTCAAGGAAAACAGAAAAGTAAACTGAATGGAGTGAGAATGAGATATGTAAGAAAACATGTATAGGAAAAAAAGATCACATAGGAAAAAAAGTATGAAATTTAAAGAGAAAAGACAACAAATGAAGCATTAAGTGTTTTTCAAAGATGGAAAACTAGGGATAATTAATTTTAATTAGCTAGATGTAATTAGCTTTCTTTTTCTCTCACACCCTACCTTTATAGTTTATTTACTACAGATAGTCTTCGACTTACAAGTTTGTTTAGTGACTATTCAGTTACAATGGCTCTGAAATAAGTGACTTATGACCATTTTTCATCCACATTTATGGCCTTTGCAGTGTCCCAGGGTCATGTGATCACCTTTTACAGCCTTCTGAGAAGCAAAGTCAATGCAAAGCAAAGTCAATGAGGAAGCCAGATTCACTTAACTGTGTTGCTAACTGCAGTGATTCACTTAATAAGTGAAAGGCAAGGAAGGTCATAAAATGGGACAAAATTCACTTGTCTCACTTAGCAACAGGTATTTTGGGCTCAGTTGTAATTGTAAGTCAAGAACTACCTGTGCTTGTTCGTTTTCTGCATGTCACCTAAAGTTGCAACCCTGAAAGAGCCTGGTATGATTGGTGGCTATGTACACAAGAGGATACTGCAACAGCTGCTCATTTAGAATGAAATGAAAGTTTGGTTTTTTTGTTTTTTGTTTTGGTCATTAGCATTAGTGAAAAAGACATGCAGTGGGGCGGGGGCTAAGTACTAAAACAGCTTAATTTTTATATTGTGTTTAAGGGGGTGAAATAGTTTTACTTGACAGAGAATATATTTGTATTATATTTACTGTGCCAGCTGATCATTAGCAGTCTGCAGTCTCTTCATGTGCTGTATTTTATCTTTTTCTTCTTGCAACTGTATAGCTTTTAGACGGTCACGTTCTATTGCCTCATTCCTGCTTTTGTACAAATTTTTGTGTTGCTTTTTAAATTCAATCTGAGCGTCTCTTTCCTTTAAAACTTCAGAATATAATAAGGCTCTCTGTAAAAGATATGTTTCATGTTTAACAGTCTTCTACACTTCTACACTACAACGTGGACAAAAATTAAAAGGAAGAAAAAATGTAATCTATATTACATGAAAACTTTTCACTCTATCATTTTCATAATACTGTTGCAATTTGGCTTCTTCTATTTTCTCTTTTCGCTTCTGTGCTTGGTATTTTGCTTCTTCAAGGTCAACCTTTCTTTTTTCTTCCTCCTCTCTCTGTTGCCGTACTTTTTTGCCTTTCAGTTTTTGTTGTGACATACCCTGTGATGAAAGTATAAATAATCTTATCAGGCATATTATTTAAAAAAAGTAGGATAAGTTTTAAAGATATGAACAATACTTACATAGTTTTAAATAAAACAATATCATTGTCTCTTAGAAGTATTCCCTTCTCACGGGAATAATTTTACCAGGATGTGATGGGTTCTCTATTGTTCTGTTTCATAGAACATTTGTCATAAATTCTGACGACAGAATGAAACCATATTCCAACGTAGTACGTTATGTTCTATCTTAGAAAATCCCAACTCCCACAAGGGCAGAGCTTGCTAAGAGATGCTGCTTTCATCATTCTGATGAAAGTAGCAACAGCCCTCAGATGCCACTACAGAGCTAAGCAGTAATACTAGTTCACTCTGTGAACAGATACATTTCAAGTGAAGTTGAAAGCATTAGCATTCACAAATTCTTCTTACTGCAATAGTGTGGGTCCAATTTTTCACAAGTGCTTGAGATTTTAAGTGCAAATCTTTCCGTGCTTTCTTTTCAGCAAGAATCTGTGCTGTTTCTCTTGCACGAGCAGTGAGACTGTCTTGAATTCTTTGCCATTCTGCTTTGGGCAAAATGGTTATCTGGTGAAGATCTACTCCCACTGGAAGAAATATTCCCTCCATCACATCATCTTCACCATTTGCTGGGCAAAAGAAAAATAAATTAAATAAACAATGTGTTAGAATGAGTGCCCAAACTCTTGTAATTAACTATTAGGTGTTTATTTTTTAAGCTATGTGTATCTTTGTTTTTAATTGTTTTATTTTATAAACTACTCAGCATTGTGACAAATTAGGTGGTTTATAAGATCCACACATACACATTAGAGCCAGTTTGGTACAGTGGTTAAGATGCTAACCTAGAAACCAGCAGATTCCCAATTAATTCTAGTCCTGCCTTAAGCATGAAAACTGGCTAGGTAGGAGATGAAAACAGGATTATATATGCTAATCACCTTGAACTAATGAAGGTGAGATAAAAATTATATATGTGTGTGTGTGTGTGCACGCGCACACATAACTTTGTACACAAATCCTTCTTAACAATGGCTTTAACGAGTCTGCAACAATGCCTATATTATGTATGTACCAAATTTTACAATTAAAAATGAAATATTTTCATTCAGAAGCAACCATTTGAATTTTTGTCCCAAAAGATTTAATGAAGAACAGAGTAAGAAAGGCTAGGTACGATAGAGGGAAAGGGTATGTGTCATGCTTTTCCACCCCAATGGACAAGGAGCAATGGTAATATGGTACCTGATACAGTGGATATAAAGTGTACATACCTCTTAAAATGCCAGGTTTTTGATATGTAAAAAAAAAATCAGACTAAGGTAAATCACTTCAGAATTTTTCCCACAAAAGTATATAGACTTGCTATATCCACTATAACTCTGAGCATAGAATGAAATCTGAAAATCAGTCAGTAACCTGATCTTATTTTCACCTGGAAATTCTATGTATTTTTCTAGAAACAAGGGCATTCATTCCATATAGAATCAACACGAAACAGAAATGGAATTACTTTCAGTGGTCTATTTTCTATACACTACAACAATTTGAGACATCTCACTAGTTACAACTGGGAGGCATAGCTGCAATCTTATGCATCAGATGAAAACAAAGCTTAATTCAACTGAGAGTGTTAGTCTGTATCTTGTGCCAAAAAGTAGTTCATTCACTAACTCATAGCTAAACAAAGTTGACTTTACACCAGTGTTTTTCAAACTTGGCCACTTTAAGATGTGTAGACTTCAATTCTCAGAATTCCAAAGCTGGTATGCTGAGAATTTCCCAGCCCAAATGTAGGTTGGGGAAATCTGGGAATTGAAGTCCACACATCTTAAATTGCGAAGTTTTTTGGGGTGGGGGTGGGGGGACCACAATACCAACACTGTATTAATTATCCAATATTGTGTGGAACAGTGTGTAAGCCTTTCAAGGTCCTCTTAAGGAAGTCTGACGGATCGTATTCTTTTTCTCACTCTGGCCGAGCAAAGACTGAGGAAAGAAATCAATCGGTGGGCAGAGATACTATAACGGCATCCGTTGAGCTCTGGCTCGCGCGCCCAGCAATCCCCGCTCCGATAAAGGAGCATATTATTGTAGCCCGAGCTTAAAACGAAGAATTTGAGCATTGATAACGTTATCCAGTTTGGGGAACGAGACGTCTGCAAAAGGAAACAACCCAGGCTCGGAGACCACCAAGGGCCGTTCCAGCCCCCGCTTCCTTCCCTCTGCTTCCCCCACCCCGCGCAATAAACTCACGCGTAGCCTCTCGCATCTGTCCCTTGCGCCTGCCGAATCGTACCTCGGGGCGAAACATCGCCCCCATAGTATCGGGAGTGGTGGTGGTGGGGAGAAGCCGCCCCGAGACGCCCTAACGGAAGCAGCGCGAGGCACCAGGGTGTTCTGCGGTTGCCAGGCAACCGAGGAACGGCTGCTTGGCGAAGTTACGCGACGCTCTGCTGTGGGGGGGGGAGGGGTGCGAGACTTGTTTGGGTGTTCACGTGATCTGGCGTGGCCAAGACGTTGCAGGGCAAGTCAGTCGGGTCGGGCGTCGAGGTAGACGCTGAGAGGCCGGATTCCCGGTTCTCTCCCTCTCTTTTTTTTCCAGGCTTGGGCCGGCTGGATTCGTCTCTCTTCCGCCCGTTTGTGCGGGCTGACAGCTTCTGCCCTCACCGCCTCGCTCTCTCGCTCCGTCCCCGGGCTTGGGCCGAAGCCGAGAGGGCACGGTCGGAAGACGGGCAGCCTCCGAGGGATAGGTCTGCTGCGGCGCCCCCAGGGCCGGTGGCCCAGGCAAGTCCTCGGGCCGGCTTTGGCCTCCTTGTCGGAGCCGTTCAATTGCCGCGCAATGAGTGGCTGCTGTGCGCGCGAGGAGCCTTGGCGCGTCGTTGGCGGCTCTTCTTCCCACGGCGTCCCTGGCAGCGTTGCTCCCCTAAGATTCCCCGCCAAGGAGCCATCTGACGGGTTGACGGTTCGCCTTTATCGCGGTTGGTGGCTTTTGTAAAGATAGCGATCGTACGAAAAAGGACCTTAAACCGTCTCCATAGACTGCTGCGGGCAGTGGAGAAGCTTAGCGAAATACGGGTCCCTTTAATTAGCAAGTGTGGCCTTTGCCGCATAGATTCTTACCTGGCGGATGACCTTTCCATCTGCTAATGCTTGGCAAAGCTTTGAGCTATTTCTGACTGACATGCCATTCTCATCCCTGCAGAACAAGATGAATTGCTCCTCTGATAGTTTACATTTGCCAGGCTGTCCAGGGTTTGCAAATAGAACGAGTATTTTTGTGGATCGTATAACTAAACGTTTATTTTTAAATGTAAATATATTTGCTCCACTGACTACATTATTCAGGAGAGTGCAGATGTTCATTCTGTTCTTTGCCCATTTTTAAAGAGAGCCAAAAGGAAGTCAGATTCTGTGATATATTAATTGCCCATACATTTCTTTTACGGCTTGCTTTGATCTTGTATGCTACAGTATTTTTTGAAAGTGATTTACATGACAGAATATGGCCCTCATTGAGTCCAGGCATGTTTGGTGAATTTCAAAGACAATTGAAACTTTTCAGTCAAATCTTATCTTTTAGCCAAGGTTTTTGAAAAAGTAAAATCCATACAATGAGAATGTAAAGTCAGCTACATGTTAATGTGATGATGAATGTCTTCTAGCTCTAATAGTTGACATCCATTTTTATTCCAACATATTTTGATGAAACCTGGTTGGAGGAAAGTTATTAAGCTCTTTCATTTAAAATCCCATGCTACAAATGGGTTCAAGGAATTGATGTTTCTGAAATATCTAATATTTTAGATATTCTTATGATGTGTAGAATCTGGCTTTTGTTTGATGCATACAGTTTGTTGCATACAGTTATCTCATTACATTGTGGTATTACTATGAAATAATGTGAGCTTTGTACTTTGTTTATCCACAAACTTCACAGCTTGCGATTAGCCTAATTTACCTTTAAGCTGAATCTTGTCTTTTTACCAAGTTTATTGGTAAAATGTACAGGGAAAAACTCTGTCTTTCTGGGTTCATTCAAGTCAGATCAGAATAAGAACATACATTTTCTTCTCTCTGTCTCTGTACAGTTAAGTGGCTTGCAATCATTTTCTGGCAGAACTGAGATAAATTCACTCTATTTGATTTACTCCAATGAATTCAAGTTTCAAACATCAAGTGAGTATCATTGATTTATTGTGGGTTTTTTTATGCACATCTATGTACATCTCTCTTATCTCTATCTGTGTCAGTTCTATACTTTGATAATATAATCAATATACCCTGTCTTTGAATTTTTGTATTGACTAATTATTTTATAAATATATGCTATCATATATAGGTAGTCCTCACTTAATGACAATTCAGCCCAGAATTTTGGCCATAAGTTGCTGTGATGGTTAAGCAGATCATGTGGCCTGTCTTGATTTTACAACCATTTTTACAATGGTCATAAAGTGAGTCACCATAGTTGTTAAATTAACCACAAGGTTATTAAGTGAATCCATTTTCCTAAACGAGCATTTTTTTGCTGGAAACTCTGCAACTGGTCATAAATGTGAGCCAGTTGTCAAGTGCCCAAAATGAAATCACATGACCATGGTGTGGATGTGCTTGTGTGGGTGCATGCTAGTCCTAACTTCATAAATAACTTTTTGAGGGTCATGATAACTTCAAATGGTTATTAAACTACTGGTCATTAAGTGAGTGCTTTATAGTTTATTGTATATTCTTTGTTAGTTAGGGTAAATCAATATAAATACCACCTGCAGAGGACTAATATGAAAACCGAAATGCTTTGAGTAGCCCTAACTTCCTGCATTGTTTATAGCTTACACATTATATAAAAACATAATGTGGACATTGTGTCTGAAACATATGCTGCCCAATTTTAATGTCACAATAAACTGTGATTTGGTGTAACAGTATAATTAGACACTCTCCTCTTTGAAAGATAACTTACATTTTGAGAAGTATTCAGGTGCATTTTAGAAGTATCATTATATGTGTGTGTGTGTCTCAGTATTAGTTTTCTAGCTAAAATTTTCTTTTTAAGGCTTTCAAATAAATATGATTATATAAATGATTTATTTCATTCATAATTAAACTATTTTTTTCATTTCCAGATTATACTTATATCCAGCAACAATGAGATTTCTACTGGTTTTTGATTTTGATCATACAATTGTAGATGAGAACAGTGATAGCTGGATTGTTAAATGTGCACCGGGTTCAAAAGTTCCTGATGAAATAAAAAACTCCTATCAGAAGGGACACTGGACGGAATACATGGACAGAGTTTTTAGATATCTGGGAGATAATGGAGTAAGAGAAGAAGATATGAAAAGAACTATGACAACAATCCCATTTACTTCAGGAATGATCAATCTTTTAGATTTTATTGGCAAACACAAAGGCTTTTTTGATTGCATAATTATATCAGATTCCAATACTGTCTTTATTGACTGGATTTTAAAAGCAGCAAATGTTTTTCAACTATTCGATGAAGTGTTTACAAACCCTGCAAGTTTTGATAGCTTTGGCTATCTTTCTGTAAAGAATTGTCATATCCATGATTGTACAAAGTGCCCCATAAATTTGTGTAAGAGGAAAGTTTTAGAAGAATTTTTAGAAAGCAATTTCACGTCAAGAGTTAAATACTCACAAATTGTATATATAGGTGATGGTGGGAATGATCTGTGTCCTGTAATGTGTTTAAAAAAGAATGATGTTGTTATGCCACGCCATGGATATATTTTGGAGAAAATGATTTCTCAGTTAGCTCAGGATCTTGCTCCACTGGAAGCATCAGTTCTTGTTTGGTCTTCTGGTCTTGAGATTCTTGCCTACTTAGAATTGCTCATAAAAGAATAGTTCCCATTTAGCTTAACAACAGCAAATTGGTGCTAAATTGACTTTCTCATAGTAGAACCCTTTCTTTATGAATATTAGAAAAATCACATTTTATTTACATCATTTTGTCTTCCCTTTCCTTGTACAAAATCAAGTTAGTAGGATGAATAATTTAATGAAGCAGATGCCAAAATTATTATTAAATATAATAGTCATCTGAACTATTAAGGTTTGTTCTATAAAATATGATGGTAAATTTTGTTTAATTATACATTGGGCATCCATTTGGCCTGTGGCATGATACTATACATTCAAATTGGCTCTTACCAATAAGAAGGAAAAAGGAAGCAAATCCCATTATGTGAGTGGAAATCCCACTCAAATAATTGCTGTCATTTGCTGCTTTTCAGAAAAATAGCAGACCATTATTTTTTAGAATTGAAAAACACTCATAGTCCTGTAAAACTATACAGATCCAGGTTATTTTTTGTAACCAATGCAACAGTTGGTTGCAGTTTAGTGGTCTCAAACCAAAAGAATGCATACATAAAAATAAGCTCATACCCATTTTTCTCCTATTTACCAAATATATTCTACATCAGTCAATCTGGTTAAAGGTAATGCACCAATACAAATAAATGTAGGCAATACTGAATACTGTTTAATACTATCTGGTTTAACTGTCCATAGAAGTGTTGGTTATATCTGCAAATAAACCATAAGAATGCAAATGAGATGATGCAGCGAGAGAAGTGTATTTCTTTTCATAAGCAAAATACTTTATATGAATCCGGTTCAATTCTGTGCATGTTTACTAAGAAGTAATCCCTAATCTAGGCCAGTAGGATTAATTTCTAAACAAACTGCATATTGAAGCCTTACAAAAATAATTATGTAAAATGAAGGGTATGTGAGCGGCACAAAGATAAAATCACTGTTTCAATCTATTGCTAAGGCACCACATTTATCTTTGCTAATACCCGCGAGGTATAATCTTTCTTTTTATGTAATTTTGTTACAAATATGAAGATGTTGGAAGAGGAGGACTGTATTAGGCTATGAGCAAAAATATGACAGTCTCTTTTTCAACTAGTGTTATTAAGAGTCATAAGCCTTCATAAGCTGAAACTCCGTTCATGACAAGCTATGCCTTTTAATAAAATTAGAAAATGTGCTGCCAAACTCCTCTTAAAGTTATATCTGAAAGTTTTGAAAAAGGGCATAAATTGATGAGCAGTTTTGTGTTGGTCTTTAGCCTTTGCGAAAAGTGAATGTGTGAAAATTGGTTTAATATGTGGAATTGTATATATGGATAATGTATTTTTTTAGTTTAAAATTAATGAAGAGAAGATAAAAAAATTAGCTCAATATTAGCTGGCTTTCAGATATCAATTTATGTTGGTCTTAATAGGTTATTTATCTGCTAAAATTAAGATATTGAGTTCATTTGATATAGTGAATAATGAATTTGCTTAGAAAACCATATTTCACGTGTTATTCTTTGAAATACTATGTGCCTACTACAACTTTTGGAATATGTGTATTTAAAATAATGATTAATTTATCCCATTTGTAGTTTTATTTAAGATGTATGCTTATAAAGATAATAATTAAATATTTTATTATTGAAACTACCTGTTAAATATTTTGCCTTAACTGTAGAATATAGTGATTATATAATCAACAGAAACAACATGCTGTATTGGACCTAACAGATGTTTAGCCGATTAGTATAAAAAGAACATTGGTTTTCTATTTCTTCCTCTTTAGGGGATATATTAAAGCTTTTTCTAACAAATTCTTCTCCCCTAGTTTTAATGAAGCTTACATTGCATTCCTTACCAATATAGATGAGGACCCTATTACATGGTCCACAGATCTGCTTATTTGATAAATGTGAATGCTGATTTTAACAATTACCTTGGCCCATGGATTATAGTTTGTGCTTTCAACCATTGTGCACCCATCTTGGGTGATTTATAATTGGAGTATCAGAGTACTGCTATTTATTATTGAAATAATTCATATGGTTGCCCCATCTCAGAGCAGTGACTGGGTGGGAATAAAAGATTAAAAGCCAACAGTTATAAACAATATCTCATGACTCTTGAAGGAAATACTGGTAATACATTCTGATCTTAAACTCATTATCAACAACAGTGCTTTCCTAATCTTCTGATCCAAACATCTGAGGAAACAGCCAGGTCTTGAGAACCTGGGTGGGCACTATCAGAAAAAAGACGTTTCCAACAAGATAACATTGTTTAATAGAGTGGACTTGAAATATGTTACCTTTGCTAGATCTAGTAGGATCTAGGAAAAAAATGGAAGAAATTGATATATTATTATTCAGAACAAAATTCAAGTGTCATTATTTCTCTGAATGCTTTATATGATTTTGTAGAGTTCCCTAAAACAAGTCTCAACCCAAAAGTGCTTTTTCAAAAGGCAACTAGATTGTTTTTCCTAATGAATCATCCCCTTCATTCTTGGTTGACAGACACTACTTACCATGGAAGGAGGCAACTGGGGGTGGTGATGTCTTCAAGTCAGTTTTGATCTAGGCCATAGCCTGGACTACAGGTAGTCCTCAACTTATGACCACAATTGAGCCCAAAATGTATGTTGTTAAGTGAGAAATGTGTTAAGTGAGTTTGGCCCCGTTTTACGATTGCCCCATTTGTTAAGTGAATCACTGCAGTGAATTTGGTTTCCCCATTGACTTTGCTTGTCAGAAGGTTGCAAAAGGAGATCACGTGACACCGGAACACTGCAACTACCATAAACCAGAGTCAGTTGTCAAGCATCTGAATATAAATCATGTGATCATGGGGAGGCCACAACAGTTATAAGTGTTAAAAAATGGTCATAAGTCACTTTTTCAATGCCATCGTAACTTCAGTCACTAATACCAACTGAGTATTCCTTGCAGTTTTCTTGACAAGATTTTTCAGGAGTGATTCACCATTACCTCCTCTCTAAAGCCAAGAGTGACTGGCCCAGGTCATGCAGCTGGTTTTGTGCTGAAAGGCAGACTAGGACTTGCACTCTCCCAGTTTCTAGCCTGATGCCTTTACCACTGCCTATCCAAAACTGACTAAGAACTATTGGGAAAGGCTTTATAACCTCCAAGTTGCTACCGCAGCTTCGGCAGCATCTCTACAAACGGCTGGGAAGGGAGAGGAGCTGGAGCAATTTTATATACCCCATGAGTGTATCGCAACCCCCCGCTAAGCTCCGGATAAACAAAGCTATTGTTTCCACTTTAGACGTTGGAAGCAAAACGGCCACCATTCGCAGCCCAACAGACGCTTTCAGGGGCAAGCCTTGCCTCCCCCTCCCGCCCCCCGCGGCCCAGAAGCAGCAGGCAAAGCTCTCCCTGGGGATGAGAGGGAGGGGAGCTGAACAGCAGAAGCTGAGGATGGCCTTGTTGGGAGCAGAGGGGCCTGGCCGCAGAAGGAGGAGGAGGAGGAGGCGAGCCAGCTGAGGCACCAAAATAGGAACTCGGCTCTCCATCTGTTCCTTCTATAGCCTACAGCAGCGGAGGGAAGCCGAATTTCTTCTAAAGATAGCCCAGGGGGCAGCCGAGCCGTTCCTCCCTTCCCTCTCCGAGAAAGACTTGCGGGGGACTGCCTAGCCTAGCGGGTTCATCCTGCACCTCTTTTTTTTTCCTCACACTTCTCGGGATAGGAATAAGCAGGTTGCAGCCGAGTTTGGCCCGCGCGTTTTGGCGCGCGGCAAAGCCGCGTCCCTCAAAGTTTGCAACCTGCTCCAAAGCCCCGCTCGAGGTTTTTCTCTCTCTTTCTCTCTCTCTTTCTCCCTCTTTTGTTCCAAAGCGCGCCTCAATTCGGCGGGCAGGGTTGGGCGGGAAAGGAGCAAAGGGGGGGGAGGGGGGGAAAGCAAAATAAACACGAACTTTGCGCCTCCAGGCCCCCGATATCCCGTTTAATAGGCTTTCCCCCCTTCATTTCCACGCGCGCGTGGGGGGGGGAGGAGAATGGCAAGGGTGCCGAGCCTGCTAGGAAGGCGTTCCCACAATGCCCCACGACCGACCCTTGCCCGTGGGCCGGAGGTGGGGGTTCGCTTCAGGCAATTTGCCTTTTAATGCCACGGTCCTCCTCCTTTCCCCTCCCCTTCGTGCTCAGATTTTTGAAAGCTGCTCCTTCCCCTGCTCGAGCGAGCCCAGCTCTGCCTCTGCCTGTCACCCAATTTGGAGAGCAGGTGGGTGAGTCTTTAGCAAATGTGGGGTGGCCGAACTACGACGCTTTGGATAAAACCTATCGACATAAATGACAGCCGTCGAAGAAGCGAGGACCTGCGGCTGACTGGACTGTTTTTGAATGGAATTGCAGCATTGCCAGGGTGGACGCTAGTCCTATTATAGGGTGAACTCTAGTTTCTGGGATGGCTCGATATGAGCCATAGAACTGCCTGGCCATTTGGTGGTTCGCTATGCCGGGCGACCACAGCTGTATAAAAGGCTTTTTATTAAAAAAAAAAAAAGAGGGATTTTTTTAAAAAAAATCATTTCGGATTAACTACGTCGGCTTTCTGTTCCTCAAGGCAACATCGCCCAGCGAAATGACAGACAACTCGGTTGATGGCGTTTTGTTCTTAACTGCTGCCTGTTTATTGTTCGTGCCGCTTTGGGGAGAATTAAAAGTTCCAAATGTTGCTTTTCTGCTCTCAAAAATCTCTTAATTACCTACAAAGAGGTTGCATTGTGTTTTTGTGTTGCGAGAAATCCCCTGTGGGATTAGCGATGTGCCGCATGATCTAGCTTTATATCCCTTTCCTGAAAATAAGGCTATTGAAGTCAACGGGGCATATTTTTGAGATGCATGAGAATATATTGTTACCCAATAAGGAACAGCAGAGTTAGGCGCCTGTTTACCTAAAGGTAAACTGGACTGGACTTACATGGTTATCTACTCCTAGGTAAATGCCATAGTTAAATATACATAGGTTGAAAGTGTTAATTCGCTCTTTTCACAGTCCTACCTGATAGTTGGTTTTACAGTGTGTTTTATAGTGTGTTTTAATTAAATAGTGGCATTAGAACACCTTATATTGCTATATATTATTTCGAGGTTTGTGGAAGAATAATAGAATGAATAACGGTGACTGAAATGAGCAAATGAAATAGATTGACAATGATAAAAATGAAAAATACATTTTTTGTCTGAATCTCAAAATTAAAGTGCTTTTACATTCTTGGCATTCCTAGATCTGATAATAGCATGTTTGAACAAAATTACGAACCATTTTTACTAATATGTATGTCCAACTAAATGGGACTTATATCTGTTTATTGTTCTGTTCAGAGGGATTTAAATAGGATAGCTGCCCACATCTTGGTTTGCAAAATTTAAATCAAATTAATTTGTACCTTTGTAATGCTTGAAAGATTTTTGCTCATATAAATGTGTACTGTTTATATAATAAGAAATCTGCATAGATCATGTATGTGTAGAATATAGTGTACACATATATGATCTGTGTAGAATTTTCACTATCAACAAATAATAGGATTGTTCTTTTCTCCAGTCCTGCAGGCTTCATTTAAGTAAGTTATGGAGACCAGTCATTGAAAATGTGAGCCTGATTGGAAGATAATTTGATGCTGGCATCAAATTCTGGAGCAGATGAGGCACTGCTTGGGAGAGCAAGAAAGAAGGTTTGAGTTGTTTGAGGCAGTGGAGACCTTTGAAGAGCTGAGACCAGTGAAGCTTAATAACTTAAAACTAATTATTTCTGTATGGTTTTGTTTTAAGGGAATATATTTCTGTTGGTGGCTTTGGATTTCCTTCTTTACCTGATGTGTTTCTTGAACTGATATGCTGGATTTTTAAAATCGTTATCTTTATGTGAGCATTAGAGGTAAATTATTTGCAACAACATTCTGCCATTGCAATCAGAAAGCCTTATATCTGAATGGACAATGATAGGAATGAGTACATGAACCTCACTGCCGTGTTGTTTCTGATATTTTATTTCAGTGATGGCACTGACTGAGCAGGAGAAATATACCTATAGATACAAAGACCTC